GCCTCTCCCACCTCCGTGGCAGCACTAAGAACCCCTCAAGGGATGTCTGACTTTTTTTTTTCTCTCTCTCCCTCTCCCTTCCTCTCTGATATCAATAAGAATATATTAAAACAAAAAAGAAAGTAATAAATTAAGAAAAGGGAAAACCCAGTGCCTTAATTTCATTAAGGTCATGATGTTCTAATGAACTTGGTTTGCTTAGGAGATGAAAAGTGGTCCAGTGTGACTGGAACACATGAAGATAAGGCTGGAGAGATTATGATGATGACATTGTGAAAGGCATTGCATCAATATGCTGAAGAGTTTGGATGTAACTTGGAAACAAGCTTCAAGGAGGTGAAATTTTATCAGAATTATTATCTGTGGTGAAAACTCCAACAAGGCTTGGGGGGCATGGACTAGAGATAGCAGTGGGGATTGATGATGGGTGGTTCCTTTTAAGAAATGCTAATGAAGAGTATTTGAGATCATGCTCCCCAGAATATGTCCTGGGAATGTCTGACTTTAAGCCGGCAGGCGGACATCCCTTGAGGGGTCCTGGACTCTGAGAGGGCACAGACCAGGCTGAGGGGACTGCCTCCCCCCCATCCAGTGCACAAATGCCATGCACCAGGCCTCTAGTCTTTAATAAAATGTGTTGATAATATTTACCTTACCTGTAATTAGTGTGCTTAATAAATAATTATGTGTTGAATAAATGAAGAGATGAATACCTACCATTTTAATCTATGATATGGTTGTAAGACCTTTTTAAAAAGATGATACACCTTTTTTTTTTTTTAACTGGGAACTATATTAAAGACAAGAAGCATCCTCTATCTTCTGTTTCAATCACTTGTGGGGTGGTTGAGTAGTATGCTCCATAAGAATAGGAAAATGGTCTGTTCTGTTCTATGCCCCAAGTCTAGTTCTTGGCAAAGTATGTTGTCATGGAGGTGCCTTTTGAATATACATTTTTGTTCATGAATGTTGTGTCAGATAAGAACACTTTCCAGTTTTCCCTCCAGTAGAAGCGTATGTAAAATTATATAAATTTAAGTACTACATTATTTGTTTTATAGGAGCTTATTTATGTTGCCTGTAGCTCCCCCCAAATTGTGGCAATTTTGGAGAGAATAAAGAATTACACACTGGTCCTTGGACTAGTCTTAAATTATTCGATTTATTCAGTAAATTCCTTTGTCGTTGGCCAACCAAAGGTGTTTAAGTAAATAAAATGTATAAAACTTAAGGACTATTTTTCAATTCTTTGATGCATTTATTTTACTAACATTCAAAAATAAATATGGGTATGCATATATGTATATATATGTACATATATATGGAAAATAAGTTTAATGTAGTTTGGAAACTAAGATTCTAAGTAGGCAAACTTTATTTTAAAAATTTAACAATTTTTAAAAATAAATTTGACATAGTGGTAAGTATCTAATTTTTTGGGCCTCTCTTATCACTGCTTAAATCGAGAATATTATAGTTCACATTTGTTGGTTATTACTACCTTATAAATCGTGGATTTTCTTTAACACAGCATGTATATAGTCTTATCCTCTATTTCTGAAAACACAGTAATTTAATGTATTGCTCTCACAAAAATCTTCTCTGTGAACTATTACATTGGTACTATGGTAATTTCTCATATGATTTTCTAATTTTTTAATTTAATTTATTTTTTTTCTATTGCCATTTATGCCCTCTATGCCCTCTTCCACCTCCACATCCCCACTCCTTCACAATCACCACACTGTGGTTCATGTCCATGAGTTCTCACTCTTTTTTGTTCAATCCCTTCACCTCCCTTCCCCCAACACTGCTTCCCTACCAGAGCTGTCTGCTTGCTCTCTTTCTACGAGTCTGTATTTTGCTAGGAATTTCAGCTAGTTCATTATATTTCACACATGAATAAAATCATATGGTGCTTGTCTTTCTCATAAGATTTTCCTTTTTATTTAAGACCTTAGTAAAAATAGGGAAGCTAGTGAGAGGACAACCTTGGAAAATTTCAGAGTTCAGCGGAAGTGAAACTCAAAAAATTGCTAACATGAAATAGTTGTCTTTGTATCATGGGAGATGTTAAGCAAATGACT